ACCAGCAACTTTTTCCACCTCCAACGTATCGCCCTTCTCCGCCAATACCTCTCTCCGAAAACCGCTGAAACCCTAGTCCATGCCTTTGTCACCTCTCGACTGGACTACTCTGGAGTCCTGTGGCTCAGTGGTTAGAGCACTCGCTTTGCAAGCGAGAGACCTGAGTTCAATTCCAGGCAGGGCGAAACCTTGGGCAAGTTTCCTTACTCCACACAGAGCCTAATAATAATCCCTCCAAAAACCAAAAACAATAATAAATTGGTCATTTTCAATCTACGACTGTTTGTGGGACATTGCTGTGCGCAATTGGCTGCCGCGTTTGCCCACAAATATACAGTCAATTCACTTTACAGTGTGTTCTGTGAAGCGCTTTGGGACGTCCTCCTGACGTGAAAAGCGCTATATCAAATGCAAGGATTATTATTATTATTATTATTATTATACTCTAACGCCCTCCTTGTCGGTCTCGCATCCACTACCATCCATAAAATCCCGATCATTCAAAACTCTACCACCCACATTCTCACCCGCACCAAACTTCACTCCCCAATCACCCCAGTCCTTGCCAGATTGCACTGGCTGCCTGTCCCAGAGAGGATCGACTTGAAGATCCTCACCCTTGTCTTCAAATCCCTCCACTCCTCTGTACCCCCCCTACCTCTCTGACCTCCTCTCTCCTCAAAACAGTACCCGTTGCCTTCGTTCCTCCGGGTCTGGCCACCTTCTCGTCCCCCGAGTCCTCCACTCCACCCTCGTCGGCCGTGCCTTCAGCCACGATGCCCCGAGGCTCTGGAACTCCCTTCTTCACTCCCTTCGCCTCGCTCCCTCTCTTCCTATTTTCAGGTCCCTGCTGAAGACCTTTCTCTTCGACCGCGCCTTTGGTCACCTTCCTCCCCCTCACCCTGGCTTGGCCCCGGGATCCATTACTGTAAAGCGCTCTGAGACGTCGTCCGGCGTGGAGGACGCTATATAAATCCAAGATGTTGTTGTTGTTGACTTGTATTTATAAATGTCCCATAAAAGACATAATTGTACAAACTTTAAACCCTTTATTTAGTCCTCTGCCTATCTCATAGAATTGTACAATACAATGCACAATGCAAAATTACATTTGTATAGTGTCTTTCACATTGAGAGGACATCCCATGGCGCAAGACAGTTAAGGATTTGGACCCGAGCTGGGTGGTTGGGATCATGGAGGATGGGGGGCAGGGAGGGTAGGAGGGTGTTCGAAGGCACGATAGAAATGTGGCAGCCAATTACGCACAGCAGTGTTCCACAAACAATCGTGGATTGAGTGAACAAGTTTTTGTTCACAGATAAACAGAGGTGTGTGAAGTAAGGAAACTTGCCTAAGGTTTAGCTTTTGCCAACCTACGCCTAATACTTTCTGAGATGAGATAAACAGGATGCATACCTCAAGGGAGAAAGCGTGCTCTCCATTCCAGACACAGGGACATTTGCATGGTATACATATGTGGTCCTCTCAGTCTGGTGTGGGTACTCTTAAACATGATGATGGATTAATGCACTTAGAAATAGAAATGTGTCAAAACGTCTTCTGAAGGGAGAGGGGAGGAACAAATTGATGAGAAAATAAAGAAAATCTTGAATGGAAAGGCACTGCTGGATATAAAATTGTCAAAGGCCAAGTTAGGAGACAGCATTCCATTTACAGTGAAACCACCAGATCGGTGAAAAGCTCCTGATAGGAATGTGACTGTCACAGAGTTAAACTGGCTCGGTGACATTCCTTTGGAGTGGATTTCGGCCAAGTCATTATACTTTGTGGAATTAGATAAGCAGGATATGTCTCTCCAGGGAGAGAGTGTGGATTCCTTTCCAACAATCTATCTCAGAAATTTCCATGTGTAGATTGGGATGCATGGAATTCTCAGTTTGGTTTGGATACTCTTAAGCATGGTGATGGGTTTCCGCATTTGTCAGACACCCAGATAACCACAAAAATATTTGAACAAGACAGACTGATATTACAAACTTTTATTGCAGCAGGCCCTATTGGTGTTTCAACATTTCAACAGCATTAACATCTATTGGAATCCACCTGTTTGAATTTCTTATGTAACAAATCAGATAATGAATTATCTGAGAGTGCTGTCTCTCTGGCTTAGCATCAAGCTCCGCCACTATTAAGCTAACACGCATGAAAGGTGCTATATAAATGCAAGTTGTTGTTGTGATCGATTTCACAATGCTTAATCTATCCATATCACCCTTTGCATTACCAACAACAAGATGGAATGGTGCCACGATGCTTTTTATTTACTAGCAATGATTTGTATTCATCGATTGGCTTTTCGTTTTGTGGTCAGCTTGGTATTTGCCACATGCAGAAACACAAACCAACACTACAGAGAGTTTTCCCATGATATATACTTTCCTGTTTGTGCATACTCTCTCCCCAGAGGGACGCAACCTGCACACCAAATCCAGGGGAATTCAGGTGCAGATTGGCAAGAGCCAACCCATGGATCATCCAATGTAAGTGTAATGGTTAGCACCCCCACCTCACAAGTGAGAGGACCCAGATTCAATTCCTGGGCGGGGCGCAATCTTAGGCAAGTTTTCTTATTTCCATGTGCCTCTGTTTACCTAGAGGTAAGTAGGAATGCAATTGTTAGTCGATTGGTGGATCGCTTTCCGGGAATAATAATCCTTCCAAAAAAAACTCAATTCACAACTGTTTGTAGGACACTGCTGTGCACAATTGGCTGACGTGTTTTGCCTACAAAATACACAGTCAATCCACTTTACAATATATTCTGTGAAGCACTTTGATACATCTCAACAATGTGATAAGGCTCTTCATCAAATGCAAGGATTATTATTCTTATTATATTATCTGTTAGTGCTGGAGAATACTTCCCCATTTCAGGCACCATGGATCACAGACATCTGCAAAGAAAAGCTAACTCAGTTCCAGCACAGCAAATATACCTCAGCCACAAACAATAGCCCCTCTGAAGCAGTCTCACATTCAATTCCACTCACTAGCCATTCCAGTGGCTGCTCAAAGTACCATTGTAAATTTAGTCAATCATATGCTGTGCCTAATAGCAAATTGGCAAGATTACCTGAATTCATTTCATAACAACAACTTCATTTATATTGTGCCCTTCATGCAGGGTAGCGTCCCAGAGCGCTCGACAGTGGCAAAGCAGAACATCGAGCTGGAGAAGGTTATTGTAGACACGGTCAAATAGGAAGGTCTTCAGGGGCAATCTGAAGATGGGGAAGGAAAGGGCAAGGCAGAGGGATAGACGAAGAGTGTTCCAGAGTTGCAGAACAGAGAAGAGGCTAGTTCCTACAATTTTGCCCACAATATACACAGTCACTACACTCCACAGTGAATCAGCACAACAACAAGATTACATTTGTATAGCACCTTTCACGTCAGGAGGACGTCCCAAGGCTCTGAATCTGGTGAAACACTGAGATGTCTCGCTGACATGATAAGGTTTTATATAAACGAAAACATTATTATGCTATTGAGTTAGGAGTGGTTATAAACCCAGGTAAAAACTGCTGTTTAAGTGCTCCTACATTTTCATCTTTCACTCCCCTTTCCTGTAATTACAAAATAATTTCCTTTAATGATTCTCACAGTCTTTCTCAATCTTTCTCCTCCATCCACTGACTACCAGTTGTCTTTGCTTACACAGCCCTATCTTCATTATTTCCAGTCCCTTACACTGCACATTTGAAAACTCATTTCCCCTTTATATACTTCTCTCGGGTAGTTATTCAATCACCCGTGCCCTGGTTCAAATATGAACGTCGTGTTTGTTTCCTCCCTGGAATATATTCCAACTTTGCTTACTTTGAACGCTCCTTGAAAAGTGCTGTTTCTCTTTCATTGTCTTACCTGCTTTGCCCATAGATTCTCTCCTATTCACAACACACAACATGGAACCTATAGGGCTGACAGTCATGCTTTGTTGTTGCCAGTTTCTTCCATAATAAATTGCAAACCCAATTCCATTGTGATTACTGTGGTCTGAAAGCCATTCCACTCATAAGCTATGTAACATTGTCTTCACATTAGCTGCACTGCCCTGAACCACTGGCCACAGTTACCCAGTTCACAAGAAACAATTTCCGCTTGCCTGAATAATCAAATTAATTTACTTGCATTCCATTCCATCCTTTGAGCTAAGCTGCTATCTCACAGAATTCATTCACTGTTGAAACTCTATACCATTTAGACATTTCTTATATGGAAAACATACATGCCAAAGAGCATATCTTATTCAATAACCCATAAGAGGTTGGGTGCAATCTGAAGTGTTATTCAAAAGTGTTATTCAAAATGCTTTCTAAATCTGTCATTCTCTGATATATCAAACCACTTGTCTGAAATCCATCTGAAAGTAGCTCACAGTTTATACTGCTACTTACCTCCTTGGGTAAGTGGGATCACTGCCTTATAATGGCTTATTTATTTCTATTAAGAAATATGTGTCTGCTCTAGCGAATATGTGGCCTTTTTAATGTTGGAGATAGGACCCTAAACCGAGGTCCCGTCTGCCCAAACTGGCAAAGTACAGTACACGTTGCAACAAAATCCCTGTGAAGCAGTTTGAAATGTTTTGCTGTGATAAGATGCTGTATCAAATGTAAGGATTATTACAGTAAAACTCAGGTAAATCATATCAGCTGGGTCATAACATTTAATCTGATTTGTGCAATTCGTATCAAATATGAGTTATGTAAAATGATCTACTGTATTATAATTGCCAGGATTAGTATTAAATGCATCATCGATACAATTAAAGCGACATTCTTCACTGCAGTCTATTGGTTGAGCACGTTTTGCACTGAGTGGTTGAATCACTAACGTTGATCTTCTTGAATCTCTCCATTTTAAAAGAATCAGCAGAGGGCAGTATGTGACTGGACTGAACCCTCTCCCCAACCGCTGATATTGCATCTGCTTCATACAAACCATTGCAATTATTGAATAGCAGGATTTTCCGCCTGTGCAATAGGTAGTGCTTTGTGGGAGAATTCATGTGTCATCAGCTGTAACCCGTGTATAGATGATTGGATTAGCGATGTTCGCTGAGAGGGAAGGTCGCAGAGATTGTCAGCCTTTGGCTTATCATCATCATCATCAGCGAAGGCTGTGTGCGGATTTGAGCAGATTCGGGTGTCATTGCAAATCAGCATTGACTGGGAACCTGCAGTGAGGGAGTGCTGTGACCAGAGCTGCAATCGTCAGTAGAAGCGAGGGAACGCCCGACATATATATCCAAGTCTTTGACCTTGTATTACAGAGAGAGAGAGAGATAGACACTGTCTCTACAAATGAGACATTCCACTGAACGGATGCGCAAAGGGAATCTGCTCTGAAATCAGATATAAAGGCGTGAATCGTAAGAGAAGAAAAAAATATTGTGCTGATCGACTGACCGTCTGTGTGGAGGTGATCAGCCGCATTCCTGTGAAGGGCAGAGAATAATACAGCACCGCCTCAGCTCTGCAGCGTTATGAACACCGGCGGTGAGTGATCTCTGTCTCCAACCGCGACCGTTCAGCTCCTCCGCGTCAAGGTGTCATTTCTCTTATTATCATTATTATTTGGGGATTTGCGGTCTGTTCTGTTCGAAGTCTGGTTAGAATGCACACATTACAGCGATTTTCGCTGTTCGTTAAAGATGGCAAAACATTTGTATCGTTACATTCCATCCCCACTCCTTTTTTCTATCGGTGTCCTGACTCAGGCGGACCGGCCCGAGGCGACGGTGTCAATGGATATGTTTGCTGGTGTGCAGTGTGATATACTGGTCTTGTCCATTTTAGCGCTTCCATTCACAATTACTGTACACATATATACATGGAATATTTCTGTCTCATAATGTGTCACCTTCGGTGAAGTTAGTAATGAACCACCTACACTATTTTTCTCAACTTCAAATTTAGGTCTCGCTTTCACTCTCTCTCATTGGAACTGGTTCAATGGAATGATCATGCAGGTTTTTTAATTAGTTTAAAGAAAAGATTTGTTTTCAGTTCACTTATCTTTTAAGTTAGATTTGTTTCTGACTATGTTTTTCCTTCATTGTGTTACGACAACAAATGACATTTGCATAGTGCCTTTCACATCAGGAAGACATCCCAAGGAGTGCTGGACAGTCAGGGATTTGGACCCGAGCTGGGGATTGTGATCAGGAGGTGTGGACGGCTGGGAGGGTAGGGGTAGGAGGGAGACCGAAGATGCAATTAACACGTTAAAGCTCTTGCTGTGTTACATATGTAGGTCTCTATCTGAGTATTATTTGGTGTTTGTTAAGAGTCAAAGTCAAATTGTTAGACTTTCTCTTATATAATGCTGGGGGGGGGGAGGAGAGAGGAGGATGGGGAGAGCTATACTGTTAGGGGTGTGATTCAACAAGTGACACATTAAACCATGGTCCTATCTGCTGTTAAGGATCTCATGGTGTGAGACAGTGGTGGAGCTGGGTGATGTTGCAGAGGTGGGTGAAGGCAGAGCAGGATGTGGAATGGATGTGTGGTAGAAAGGATAGTTGAGTCAAAAAAAGACACCAAGGTTCCGGACTGGTTTAGTAAGGTGGAGTGCACATCCTTGGATGGTGATGCTGCCAATGTCTGAGGTTTGGAAGCATTGACGGGAGTCAATCAGAAGGGCCTAGATCTTATTGACTGTAGAAAAAGACTGTAGAAAACTTGTTCAACTATAGAAAATTAGCTCTCATCCAGGACTTGAGATAAACAGAAAGATGGCAGTCAACTGTACACAGCAATGTCCCACAAACAGCCATGAAATAAGTGACCAATTTTATTTGGAGGGTTGTTGGCCAGGACACTGGGAGAAATTCTCTTCTCTTTTTGAATAGTGCATTGGGACCTTTAATGTCCACCTGAACAGGCAGACAGGAACTCAGATTAACATCTCATCCGAAGGACAACACCTGTGACAATGCAGCGCACCCCTCATCTTAGATTATATGAGTTCCAAGTCACAATGTGGGGTTTGAACCCACAACCTTCTTACGCAAGAGCACTACCAACTGAACCCTGCTGACACACAATAGCAATAGTAATAATCCTTATGTTTGGTGTTTTGCCTTTCACATTGGGAGGATGTTCCAAAGCGCTTCACATGATCTGTGGTAAAGTGCAGTGACTGTTGTTGGCTAGGATACCGGGAGGAACTCCCTTCTCTTTTCAAATACCTCTCTGGGAAGTTCATTGTTGACGTTTTTTTTCCCATTCCTATCCATTTATCCCATTCCTGCTCTCAGGAAAGTCTCGAACCTGATGAACCAGCTTACTCCAAACCCTCCAAAACAAAAAACAATAATAAATTTGTCATTTTCAATCCACGACTGTTTGTGGGACACTACTGTGCGCAATTGGCTGCTGCGTTTCGCCTACAAATATACAGTCAATTCGCTTTACAGTCAATTCTGTGAAGTGCTTTGAGATGTCGAAGACGCGAAAAGCGCTGTATCAAATGTAAGGATTATTATTATTATTTATAGTCGCATTTTTCATAGTCTTTCTTGTGCTCAGTAGGATAACCGGGGAAGCCTCTGTGTGTTGGTCTATATTTGGCTCATTTTAATTGATTTATCAAAAGCAGCAGTCACATTGCATAGGCACAGAGAGAGTGACAATGATAGCAGATGATGAATCTTCTGCACATGCAAAAACATATCTATAAACATCAGCTGCTAAAGGACACTTCAGGAATTGTTGTATTGGGTTTCCTGCTGTATTTTGTCAGTAAGCCCAGTGCTCTCAAGGGAATGCAAAATGCACCAACCAATAAACTGCAGAAGATTGTAACATGGTTACTAAAATGTGATTACACTTTTAGAAAGCTTCATTTATCAATTATGTTTTAAAATCCCTATTCATTCTCCCTTTTAGCTCCTACACTACAATTGATCACTAATATTTTTCAAAAATGTAATAATCCTTGCATTTGATACAACACCTTGGGAATGTAGTAAACAGTGAGGACTGGAGGATGGTAGCAGACTGAGGGAGGACATAGACAGACTGGTGAAATGGATAGACACATGGCAGATGAAGTTTGAGATGATGTATTTTGGGAGCAAGAATAAGGAGAGGCAATATACACTAAATGTTAAAGGGGGTTCAGGAGCAGATAGACCTGGGGGTTCACATGCAAGATGGCAGACAGATTGATATTCCTGTAAAAAAAAGGGATCCTTGGCTTTATAAATAGAGGCATACAGTATAAAAGCAAGGAAGTTCTGCTAAACCTTTGTAAGTCACTGGTTAGGCCTCAGCCAGAGTATTGTGTCCAATTCTGGGCACCACACTTCAAGAAGGATATCAAGGCCTCGGAGGGGGTGCAGAATGAAACCAGGGATGAGATACTTTCGTTATTTGGAGACACTACAGAAGCTGAGATTATTCTCCTTTGAGCAGAGAAGGTTAAGGGGAAATGTAATTGAGCTGTTCAAAATTATGAGAGGTTTTGATAGAGTAGATGGGGAGAAACTGTTTCCACTGGCAGGTGGGTCAGTATCCAGGGGACATAGGTTCAAGATAATTGGCAAAAGAACCAGAGGAGAAATGAGGAGAATTTTTTTACACAGCGTTATGATCTGGAATGCACCTGAAACTGATTCAATAACAGCTTTTAAAAGGGAATTGGATAGGTACTTGAAAAGGATAAACATGCAAGGATATGGGGAAAGAACGTAGAGTAGGATTTTCAAAGAGCAGGCACGATGGGCCAAATGGCTTCCTTCTGTGCTGTAATATTCTTTGATTCTAATAGCTTTTAACATTTTTATCAGGGGGAGGGGGCGGATTGTTGTTTAGGACACTAGAAGAAACTTCCACCTGAGCAGGCAGACAAGACCTTGGTGTGAGTATCTATTCCGAAGAGCTGCAGCACATCCCAGTACTGGGTTGGAGTGTCAGATTAGCCTGTGAGCTCAAAATCCCAACAAGGGGATTGAATCATAAACTTCTAAATTGGTGGTGAGAGTGTTATCAACTGAGCCAGACTTAATCTTCATTGCCCTCTATCTCAGCAGCATGTTACAAATGAGTTATAAAGAACAACAGCAAAAACAAACCTGAAGATTTTTTTTTAATGAGTTAAAAATATATATTCTTTCAGTGACAGAACTGAGTTTAAAGACTGGGAGGACTCATTAATCCAGGGAGAAAATTAAGTAAAATTAGGGGTAATCATCAAGGCTATACATACAACAACAACAACAACAACAACAAGATTCCATTTATAAAGCGCCTTTCACGTCAGGAGGACGTCCCAAGGCGCTGCACAGTTGGGTCATGTCCCGAGCAGGGGGGAAATGGTCAGGGTGAGGGGAGGGAAGGGAGGGAGCAAGGAGGGGGGAAATGGTCAGGGTGAGGGGAGGGAAGGGAGGGAGCGAGGAGGGGGAAGAGAGTCGAGAGGGGAGCTGAACGCACGGTCAAAGAGAAAGGTTTTGAGACCGGCCTTGAAGGAGGAAAGGGAGGAGGCGGCGAAGGCACTGGGGGATGGAGTTCCAGAGCCTGGGGGCTGAGAGGCTGAAGGCCCGACCACCGATGGTAGGGCGGTTGGGGCGGGGGACGTGGAGCAGACCGGAGCCAGAGGAACGGAGGGTACGGGCAGGTAGGTAGGGGGATAGTAGGTTGGAGAGGTAGGAGGGAGCAAGGCCGTGAATGGCCTTGTAGGTGAGGATGAGGATCTTGAAATCAATCCTCTGGGGGATGGGGAGCCAGTGGAGGCGAGCGAGGGTGGGAGTGATGTGGTCGCGAAGCCTGGTGCGGGACAGTACACGAGCTGCAGAGTTCTGAATGACCTGCAGCTTGTGGAGGGAGGTGGCGGAAAGGCCGGCGAGGAGAGAGTTCCCATAGTCCAGCCTTGAGGTGACAAAGGCGTGGACCAGGGTTTCAGCAGCGTGAGGGGTGAGGTAATGCCGTAGTCTGGCGATGTTCCGGAGGTGATGGAAGGCGGTGCCAGTTGTGGTGCGGATGTGAGGGAGAAAGGACAGCTCAGGGTCGAACAAAACGCCGAGGTTCCTGACTGGCTTTGAGAGGTGGAGAGTGCAGCCTTGGATGCTGATGGTGTCAGCGCCTGAGGTGCGGAGGCGCTGACGTGAGCCAATCAGGAGGGCCTCGGTTTTTCGCACGTTGAGCTGAAGAAAGTTGTCTCTCGTCCAGGACTCGATGTCGGACAGGCAGCTGTCAGGACATCGGTGGTCGTGGAGTTGAGAGTAGAGGAGGAAAGGTAGAGTGGGTGTCATCCGCATACATGTGGAAGTTAACTCCATGTCTGCGGATGATGTCACCACAGGGGGAGCATATAGAGGGTGAAGAGGAGGGGACAGAGCCCTGAGGGACACCACATGAGACAGTACGGGGGGTGGAGGAGAAGCCATTCGTCGAGACAAAGTGAAGACGGTGAGAAAGGTACGACCTAAACCATTCAAGGACAGTGCCTTGAAGGTTGAGGTGGGAGGACAAGCGGTGGAGTAGGATAGCGTGGT